GGACTTTAGGATATCCCCCAGGAAAGAGTAAGCTCCTCTCCTCAGCAGCAGCCTGTGGCACATGTGGTGGTCCTGCTCTAGTGTCTCCAATCTGCCCCAGCAGAACACACATATGTACTGGGACACCACCTGGGAGCCACCCCTGCTCATCAGCAGTCCCAAGTGGCGGAGCTGAAACAAGAGGGATGAGCTGTATGGGAGGGTAAACCGAGAATGTCAACCACCAACACCAAAGTCCTCAAAGTTTTAGGTTCTCTGTTTTAAGGGAGGAGAAATCAGGTGCCAAAGGAAACCCTGGATCCTCCTGCCCCAGCAGGCTGTAAGTACTTTTTGGGTAGCACAGACACATTATACCTCTTCTGAAGGCTGTAGCCACTTGGAGAAAACACATGCCTTGTAGCCTTGGAGAAAACACTGATGAGCATCCATGCAGTGGTGCTGCCCTGCTCTTTCGTGGGCTGAGCTGCTAAGAGGGCCTCAAGAGCCCCCACATCCCATGCGGTGATGCCGAGCAGCCTCTGGGGCTGTGGGGATAACCCTAATGGGATCATCATTCTGGCTGTGCTCAACCAAAGGCTGTTCCACCTCTGACCCTTGCATGAGGACTGTAGGGATCATGGGGTCAGCGTGAACCTGGGGCAAAGGCAGCCACTCCGCTTCTGGAGTGCAAGCAGCCGCAAGTGGAAGAGGAGGGGTGGGTGGGCTACATACTTCATAGAATCATAGAATAGTTAGGGTTGGAAAGGACCATAAGATCATCAAGTTCCAAATCCCTGCCATGGGCAGGGACACCTCACAATAAACCGTATCACCCAAGGCCTCGTCCAACCTGGCCTTGAACACTGCCAGGGATGGAGCATTCACAACCTCCTTGGGCAACCTATTCCAGTGCCTCACCACCCTAACAGGAAAGAATTTCCTCCTTATATCCAATCTAAACATCCCCTGTTTAAGTTTCAACCCATTACCCCTTGTCCTATCACTACAGTCCCTAATGAAGAGTCCATCCCCAGCACCCCTATAGGCCCCCTTCAGATACCGGAAGGCTGCTATGAGGTCCTCACGCAGCCTTCTCTTCTCCAGGCTGAACAGCACCAACTTTCTCAGCCGATCTTCATACGGGAGGTGCTCCAGTCCCCTGATCATCTTCGTGGCCCTCCTCTGGACTTGTTCCAACAGATCCATGTCCTTTTTATGTTGAGGACACCAGAACTGCACACAATACTCCAGGCGAGGTCTCACAAGAGCAGAATAAAGGGGCAGGATCACCTCCTTCGACCTGCTGGTCACGCTCCTCTTAATGCAGCCCAGGATACGGTTGCCTTTCTGGGCTGCAGGCGCACACTGAAGCCAGCTCATGTTCATTTTCTCACCAGCCAACACCCCCAAGTCCTTCTCGGCAGGGCTGCTCTGAATCTCTTCTCTGCCCAGCCTGTGGCTGTGCCTGGGGTTGCTCTGACCCAGGTGTAGGACCTTGCACCTGGCATGGTTAAACTTCATGAGGTTGGCATCAGCCCACCTCACAAGCGTGTCAAGGTCCCTCTGGATGGCATCCCTTCCCTCCAGCGTATCAACCGAACCACACAGCTTGGTGTCATTGGCAAATTTGCTGAGGGTGCACGCAATCCCACTGTCCATGTCAGTGAAGAAGATGTTGAACAAGACTGGTACCAACACTGATCCCTGAGGGACACCACTCATTACTGGTCTCCAGCTGGACATTGAGCCATTGACCACAACTCTTTGCCTGCGGCCATCCAGCCAGTTCTTTATCCACCGAGTGGTCCATTCATCAAACTGATGTCTCTCCAGTTTAGAGACAAGGATGTCGTGTGGGACAGTGTCGAACACTTTACACAAATCCAGGTGGATGACATCAACTGCTCTACCACTGTCCATCAGTTCTGTAGCCCCATCATGGAAGGCCACCAAATTGGTCAGGCAGGATTTCCCCTTAGTGAAGCCATGCTGGCTGTCACCAAGCACCTTGTTGATTTTCATGAGCCTTAGCATGCCTTCCAGGAGAATCTGCTCCAAGATTTTGCCAGGCACAGAGGTGAGACTGACTGGTCTGTAATTCCCTGGGTCATCCACTTTCCCCTTCTTGAAAATGGGGGTTATATTTCCCTTTTTCCAGTCATCGGGAACTTCACCTGACTGCCATGATTTTTCAAATGGGATGGCCAGCAGCTTAGCAACTTCATTCAACAGCTCCTTCAGGACCCGCGGATGGATTTCATCAGGACCCATGGACTGGTGCACGTTCAGATTTTTAAGATGGTCTCAAACCTGTTCCTCTCCTCCAGTGGGCCCAAGGTCTTCATTCTCACAGTCCCTGCGTCTGCCTTCCAAAACTTGGGTGGTGTGGTCAGAGCCTTTGCCAGGAAGACCAAGGTAAAGAAGTCATTCAGAACCTCAGCCTTCTCCAAATCCTGTGTAGCTAGTTCTCCCAAGAGCTTCCTGAGGGGGCCTATGTTCTCCCTAGTCTGTTTTTTATTTGCTATGTACCCGTAGAATCCCTTCCTGTTATCCTTAATATCCCTACCCAAGTTTAATTCTAACTGGGCCTTAGCTTTCCTAACCTGGTCCCTAGCTTCCCGGACAACACCCCTGTACTCTTCCCAGGCTGCCTGTCCTTGCTTCCACTTTCCATAAGACTCTCTTTTCATTTGAATTTTCCTCAGCAGCTCCTTATCCATCCGAGGAGGTCTCCTGGCCCTCCTGCTGCACTTCCTTCTAGTTGGGATGCAACACTCCTGAGCTTGTAGCAGGTGATCCTTGAAGACCAACCAAGAGTCTTGAGCCCCCCTTCCCTCTAGGGCTATATCCCATGGAACCTTACTAAGCAGGTTCCTGAAGAGGCCGAAGTCTGCTCTCTTGAAGTCCAGGGCAGTGAGCTTGCTGCACGCTCTTCTCACTGTCCTGAGGATCTCAAATTCGACCATCTTGTGGTCACTGCATCCAAGGCTGCCCTGGAGCACCACATTTCCAATGAGCCCTTCCCTGTTAGTGAATACGAAATCAAGCATGGCATCTCTCCTTGTCGACTCCTCTCTCACTTGCAGAAGGAAGTTGTCTTCCACACAACTGAGGAACCTCCTGGATTGCTTGTGACGGGCCCTACCGTCATTCCAACAGATGTCAGGGTGGTTGAAGTCACCCATGAGAATGAGGGCCTGTGAGTGTGAGGCTTTCTTTTCCTGTCTGTCTATAGAGCGCTTCATCCACAGGTTCTCCTTGATCTGGCGTTCTGTAACAGATCCCCACAGTAATGTCTCCAATTGCTGTTTTGCCTTTAACCCTGACCCACAAACTCTGTTAACTCCTCACCTGTCCCCAGACAGAGTTCCATACTCTTAATACTTCAAGGGCCATCTCATGGCAGAAACCAATAGCCTGGGAGAACCAGAACAAGAGGAACCAGGGATGGGAGAATGCCCTCTGCTCAACTGAGAGAAAGTGGATTTTATGTCAGGAGTGTGGCATAAGATGAGCTCATTCAAGGCCAAGTGGTTGCACATACCCTTTGCCCTTCAGCTTCTGCCCTCCTCTCAGCTCTGCTCATGCCCTCTGTAGGCACCCCAACATCCACAAGACCTGAAAGATGGCACTGCAGGCTCTCCACATCTCTGAAAAGCCACTTCCACCACCTCCAGCAACTTCACCAATGGACTGAGCTCCCTGGGTAGGGCATCTGCATGTCCACACAGACATCCCCCTGCACCCTCACTCCCAAACTCCCCTGTCCCGAACCTGTCTGTTCAGCTGCAGACTCCAGCACTATGCTGGGATGATGGAGCCCAGAAGCACTGGACCAGCCATGGGATGGGGAGTCCACGTAAACTGCCGCGGGCTCCGAGGGGCAAAGCATCATCCTAAAGCACTGGAAAATTGTGATGTATCCTGCAATACCTCGCTGAGCCATTCAGTAAGCAAGGCAACTTTTGTAGACAAAGGAATATCTACTGTCAGAGCACCTAGTATTTCTACTCATATTTATTATGCCAAGACTGCTACAATCTCAACTGATGTCTGCTTGAACTGGAGGCTAATACATGGTGAAGAAGATATAAAAGACTAGAGGTGAGTCACTGAAAGCTCTTCTTTCTTCCTGCCACCCCTGCCTTGTGCATCTCTTCAGACAACCTTGGCCACAGCAACACCTTCAGGGGACTATGCAGCCAAGCCAGCTCTGAAGGATACACACCAAGGCAGACGGTCACTTGGCGTCGGCTCAACAGAAATGGGTGGAATTATCAGTTGGTACCAGCCAAGAATACAGGGGCATAGACCTGGGTGGATGGATGATGACACATGATGGCTGTGGTCACCCTGTTCGCCACCGGTCCTGCTGGCAGGCCACAGACTTGGAGGACATGGATGGGCAAAATGGGTGTCTCTAGGTCTTTCCCACTGGGTTGCTTGGACTATACACCAGCATAGGTAATGGCCAGTGGGGGTGTGAAGTCTGTCCCTTTCTCCTTGGTGGACACAGCTCTTCCTGCTAATGGCCACCAACCAGTGCCTGTCTTTTCCCTAAGGCACTGCAGCATCACACGGGTCCTGCCACAGGCGGCAGCACTGGTCCATGTAAACCCAACGTGACTAGACAATTAGGCCTGAATGATTCAAAGTTCATTTGTTCTTCCCGGTGGAGAACCTGGGGCTGGTCCCTCTTCAGCATTAGGATGGTTTCCACTCATCCTGCCCGTACACACATCAGTACGATGGAAGAAGACTCAGACCTGCTTCTACTGGGCAAGGAGAAGGGGCAGAGAGAGATCTAACAGCAGCACATTTTTAGAGAGCGAGGAAGAAGCAGGGCCTGGATGATGGAGAAGGGAGAACTGTCAACTCAAATGTCACCACCAGGCAGAAGAAGACTAACGGGAAAATAAAAGCCTAGAAACAAGTGCTACCAACAGCACGCCCAGAGAAGCACATCAATCCCCTTCAAGCTCCCTCAGGCACCATGGAATCTCACTCTGTTTTGCTCCTCATTAAAGGTTTGTCATTACTGTGTTATTTTTAATACACACTTAGAGGAAGAGGCCCACATGCGCACCACACGTGCACACGAGGGGAAACCATTGCCAAAATATACACTATAGACAGAAGAGTCTGTTCACACTATATATATGTACAGAGTCTCTGGGTGCAGTTTGGCAGCGCACAGCCAGGCTGGGACTGAGCAGGGGGTGGGATGGAAGTGTGGAAACCCCTCAGGGCTTCACACACTTTCCCTTCTTCTCCCGCCGCTGCAGTTTCCGAAGGCGGCGTGTCCAGGCGTCCCGCCACTGGATGACAAGGCTGTTCTTGTCAGCCATCAGTCCCGGCCTGTCAGTGGAGTTTTCACTGATCCCCATGACCAGGTACTTTTTGCTGATCTGGATCCTGGGGCACTTGCAGGACAGGTCTTTCAGGTGGATCCACAAGATGTTGTCACCACGCTTGACCCGCTCGTCACGGCACTTGTAGACAGAGAGGATGTTGATGGTGAACTTGGCCCAGTTGGCCACCGTCTCCATTTCGAGGATGTTCACCTGGACCACTGAGGGAAAGGAGCAGGAGACATGGTGGTGCTTTGCCTTGCTTCCCAATGGAAGTTCTGGTGATAGGAACTGCCCATCACCAGCAGCCCCAGCTACCTCATCTATTGCACCCTTTGGGGGACTGATATGGGGACCCATCTCCATGCTGGGTGCTCCCCATGCCCTGGAACATCTGCATCTCACCTACCCACAGCCAGCCTGTGGCCAGCCCCCTATAGCAAAGCCCAGCATGGTCCAGTGAGGGAGGAGGTCCTTACCATAGTCCTTCTTGCAGTACTTTTTCATGTTAATCTTGTAGTTGCCCTTGGCTGGCTTGCAGTAGGAGTCACAGTCTGTGGAGGAAGAGCAGAGGGTTGAGCATGAAGATGCTTGAAGGACATGGGTCCCGTACCACCACAAGAGAAGACGGTGGAGTGGATGGCAGCTCACAGGGGCTGGGAACTCAAATCCCAGCACAAATACCAACACCACATCAGCCAGGAAGAGAAATCAAGTGGCTTTGGGCCTATCCAGCAGACTGTGTCACCTCCTGTGCTGATGGTGTCCTGCAAGATAAGTCAGCACAGGAGTAGTAGAGGGAGCCTGGGGACTCTCCTCTGGGATGCAAAAAGGTGATGTGTGGGAGAAATGTAGGTGAGCTAATGGAGGCCACCATGGAGAGCAGGTAGGGGCCATGACCAAGGCAACCAGAATGGCTGTGGCCCTGCAAACCAGGGCAATGTGAGAAAGAGTGGACTCAGCACCAACCCTACCACCCACAGGGAGGAGGCCCAAAGGACGGTCTGACCGTAGACCAATGGGGTTGTGATCCTCAGCCCTCAGGGGCCAGGGTGGTGGAAAGCATCCTCATGGGGCAGCCCCTCCAGGGACCTGCGCCTTGCCAGTGGCCCAGAAGTGGGGAAGGGGACTTGGGCCATGGAAAACTGGTGGGTGAAGGACACGGCTCTGCTCTGCCACTGCTCCTCCTGACCAAGCATCCCCTGCTCAGATGGGCTGGGGAGGCCACCATGCTGTCAACACCACAGCATCCTCTCCCTGCAGTCCCAGCTTCAGGCAAGGCTCATGTCCTAAAGCTCATGTCCTGTCTTTTCTGTGCATTTCTACCCCAACTTTGCATCTCAAGCAGAGGGAGGGCAGGGAATGCCTCTTTCCTTCTCCCCAAAGGCTTTGATCCCAACAATTGCCTGAAGCAGCCCTGTTCTCCTTTCTTTCTCCCTGCCATTTTCCTTTGAACATCTCAATTTGTCTCTTTCCAAATGGCATGGTTGTGTTTTTGTTTTTTTTCTAAGCCCATCTTTCTTCTTTTCTCTCCCTCTTGCAGGTTCTCTCTGGGTTGGCCCCACATACCAGGACAGAGCCAGCAGCCTCTGAAGTTGTCTTTGTTTGCAGGTTGCCACAGTGATTACTGGTGACAGAGACCAGGGGCTGGGGGAATAACAGTGCCCTGTGCCAAAGGGAGGAGGAGAGAAGAGGGAAAAAAACAGGAGCACAGACTCTGCTGCTCTCCTTTCTGCCTGGCTCTCCTTTATCTGGGACTTTGTGCCACATGTCCCAAATCTGTCCTGGAGAAAAGCAGTGCAGCACGAAGCTAATTCTTAGAAGAGGGGGATGAGCCCCAGTTCCCAGCTCAGCTCCTCTGCCCTGGCTGGCAGATGTGCCCCAGCCCTACTGCATCCCCCAGGACTGCAGTGGTGGCTGTGGAGCTGGTGTGGGGCCTCCCCATGCTGGGATGCTGCTGAGTGCACTGAAATGCTCAGCTGTGGCACTAAAGGTGCCCCCATCTGCTGCAACCCAGGGAGCTGCCTCAGCCTCATCCTGGACCCCACTGCATCCTCCGAGACGTGCTACAGGCCTGTCCCTGACACCCTGCTCCACCCTTTCCTGCTATAAGAAAGGGACTCTAAAAAGGAGCTCCCACCTTGTTCTGTGGCTTGCCCAGCAGGATGGACAACCTTTTCCTCCCCATGCAGAGTGATGGAAGCTGAGAGGGGCTTTGGACAAGGGCCTGTAGGGACAGGACAAGGGGGAACGGCTTTAACCTGACAGAGGGGAGACTGAGATGAGCTCTTAGGCAGAAGTTCTTCTGTGTGAGGGTGCTGAGGCGCTGGCACAGGGTGCCCAGAGAAGCTGTGGCTGCCCCATCCCTGGCAGTGTTCAAGGCCAGGTTGGACAGGGCTTGGAGCAACCTGGTCTAGTGGAAGGTGTCCCTGCCCATGGGAGGGGGCTGGTACTGGTTGAGCTTTAAGGTCCCTTCCAACCCAAACCGATCTGGGATTCTGCGATTCTATGATGCCCTGCAAACAGGCAACACCTCTGCTGCTGGTGGGGAGCCAGCACATGGGAAGGTGGATGGATGGATGGCTGGATGGATGGACAAAGAAGGTTGATGCTGCATGCACATGGGAGGAGGTGGCCGGTGACCAGAGAGCCACCGGCTGGTGCAGGCATCCCCAGTCTGTGGTGCAGCATTTGCAAGAGGCAGTGAGTTTGCTTTGCACATCTGGTTTACTTCTCCTCACCTTGGAAAAAAAAAAAAAAAGAGGAATATTTTGTTTTAAGAGAGATGTAACTTAATTAGGTGTTATGGCTGCAAATCTTTTACTGCTGACTTAGAATTCCTTTAAAGCCCTGTTTTGTGTGCCACGGTTTTTGTTAATTCTGCTAATGGGGAATGGGATTTTCTAGGTGTTATTATTTTTTTTCACTTATTGGAAAATATTTTAAGATAATAATAATAAATATTACAAGAAGTGGACCTAGGACGTTTCAGCTTTGAGACGGTCAGCTGCTTGGGCAGAGAGATCAAAGTCAGACCTCAAAGGCTCCAGCGGGTGGGAAAGGCAGGAGAAAGCTGGGAAGAGTGGTGCAGTAGATGGCAAAGTCAGCAAAAAGCCCGGACGCACCCGGGGACAGGACCCTGCAAGGAGGAGGATGGAGAGAGGGGGGAAGTCCAGCACCTGAGCACGACGGCCCCAAACAATGTCCCCCTGTTCCTGCAGCCCAGCACCTGCTGCCAGCGGCAGGGAGGGATGTGGGGAAATGGGGGAAGGGGCTTGGAGGCTGCCTCGGTTGGGAGGACTGTGGGGATTGAGAGGCTGAGTGCTGAGTGTCCTCTTGGGGAGTGCCCTGCTTATGGGGGAGCTTGGAGGTCCTGCAGCACAGAAAAGCAGCCCGAGGGGCATCAGGGTGCAGGAGGGTGCAGGAAGGGAGCAGGCAGGATGCAGGAAGCAGGCAGACTGCACCACTGTGGCCAGCCCTGCCCGCAGCACCAGCACACTGGAGACAGAGAAACTGAGGCAGAGCTGGGCAAGGCAGCATCACCCACCCCATCTCTGATCCCTGCTGGCCAAGGGGGCAGCAGGACTCCAAGGGGATCCCCTGCTCCCCCGGTGCAGGCTCTGGGCAGAAGTGAGCAACTTTGCATTAAGGATATTCAAACTAGAAGCCAGAATTCTTGACACCACAAAGTCACAGATAAAACTAAAACAGTTTAAGGCAGACCTGCCCTGCTAAAACAAAGTAAACACCCGGATCTCCAGCTAGTGCCATTTATTTTTATGCAGCTGAAAAGACTAAACATCACTCAAAGACTGCTCCTATTTATAAAGCACTGGAGAGGAGTCACCTTAACTCGGCTCCATGCGTTGCTCTCTGTTTGCAATAAAACCATCCAAATCCCCTTTCCCTCTTCCCATTTGTTTCCTTTTCACAAAGCCTGGTGTTCCCAACTCCCTCCCTTTCAGCAGGCAGGGCATGCAGGAGCAAAAGAGGTGGTCTGCTCTGTCCCAGCAGTGTTACCATCCCAGGCAGCTCAGCTCTTACATTCGTCCTATCACACAAGATGTGCAGTGCTGCCACTCTCTGCATCAATACATGTGGCCTGCATGTGTATGGGGCCAGCATAATTCTGCAAGGAGCTGAGCTACTAGCTTCCTCCTGTGCATCTCCCCTCTCCGTCCCCCATCCTCATGCTTTAATCCTGCCATAGGTCCGTATGTTCCACATCCCTTGTGCGCATCCATTCTCCTCCTACAGCCGCTGAGTACATGTATGTGTCACAGGCACCATGCTGGAAAACATTCCCAAAATGATGGAAAGCACGTCCCAGGCACACAATAGCCTGGGGAGGGCCTGTTAGCATTTTCCACTCCCAAGACAAGGTGGCTGCAGGAAGGAGAGATAGGGAGAAGGATGTTCACAGTGCATTGGTTCTCCAAGGAGGGATTAGGCTGCCCCTGGGATAGATGTACTCCAAACTTCAAGAAGAGGGCTCTGAGGGAGACCTTAGAGCAGCTTCCAATGCCTGAAGGAGATACAAAGAACTTGGAGACGGGTTTTGGACAAGGGCCTGTAGGGACAGGAGAAGGGGGAATGGCTTTAACTTGACAGAGGGGAGACTGAGATGAGCTCTTAGGCAGAAGCTCTTCCCTGTGAGGGTGCTGAGGCACTGGCACAGGGTGCCCAGAGGAGCTGTGGCTGCCCCATCCCTGGCAGTGTTCAAGGCCAGGTTGGACGGGGCTTGGAGCAACCTGGTCTAGTGGAAGGTGTCCCTGCCCATGGCAGGGGTTTGGGACTGGATGAGCTTTAAGGTCCCTTCAACCCAAACCAGTCTGGGATTTCATGATTCTATGAAATGAGGCATGGGGAAGTTCCTCAGTGCATATGGGTGTGGGGAGCTGGAGGTGCTCCTGCTCTTTTCCCAGGACCACATGCCATGGGATGAAGTGAAGGATGGTGCAGGATGTCTATTCCCCCACACTGGCATGTGGAAGAACACCAAGGTCCTGGGGAAAGCAGGGTGAAGGGTGACCTGAGGATGTAAGTGGCTGCTTCTTTCCCTAACTTCAACCTCTTGTCCTGGCTTGGGATCCCTACAGTGGTATGGCCAGGAGCAGCCATGCTTCAGTGCCAACAGGACTGCAGAAGGAGAGGAGGGAAGAGCAAGGTTTGCAGCCTGCTGCTGAAGCTGTCCCTCCTTTTCTGGGTGACAGCAGCAGGGACACTGATCCTTCCATGGTCCTATCACCCTGCGCAGCCGGGATAAGCAGCTCATACCCAAACACTTCACTCCTCCAGACCTGTACCCACTGATCTCCCAGGGTAAACCTGGCAGCAGTGCCTTGGCACAGGGGCTCCTGAGCCTGCCAGACCCCCCTGCTCTCCCCAGCACTGCTCAGAGAGCCAGAGCCCTCAGGGGCAGAGGGCACTGAGGAGAAACCTCTGGCACTGGCAATAACAAAAGGAGAGTAATAAAAAGCCACCTCAGAAGCACCCACACCACAACCCCAGCCATAACCTGCTGAGGGGTGGCAAGGCCCTGGGGGTTGCATACCTGCTTTCCTCCCTGGAGGGGATGGATCAACTCTTTCCCCAAGGCCCTGTCAAGCTTTGTTGGTCCCTTTCCAGAAATACACAGGATTTCAAATCTCAGTCATCACTTTCACCGCTTTGTTTTTTGCCATTAATCTTTTTGCCCATGGGTTTGGCAGGGCTCAGGCCTTCTCGCCTGTGTGCTGGGTAGAGGGGAGATGGGATGGGATGTCTCTGGGCAGGGCTGGGGCCATGGGCACAGCCTGGGACATGAAGCACTTACCCGCAGGCGCCTCTGTGCTGGTGACCAGGGAGGTGGGGTTGATGGCAGGGATCTCTGGAAGAGAAAAAGAGAGATGTTTTAAGGAAAGGGGTCCCCAGCTGTGGTGGTGTCACTTGGGCAAAAGCCTCCTGCAAGCAGGGTGCAGAGGGGATCTTTTGGGTCTTCTCCATCAGCTCTCTAAGAAAGGAAACAAAACGAGTCTGACCACAACAGCACAGGCCACTAAATAGGCCCAAAGATGCCCAAACTGAGCTCAGTGAACTGGGACAGACTGAGATATTGCATGCCCCATGAGCCCTAAGGCACTGCTGCAAAGGACATGTGCTCCAGGGAAGAACGCTCCTTGGATGCTCAGCTCATCTGAATTCAGTTTGGGCACTGGATGGATGCTTGGCTGATCTGAGCATATTCCATCCAGGCTGCATGGGCAAAAAAATTTTATCAGGACTTCCTGTGACAAAACCTTGGGGGAAATTCTGTCCTAACCCTAAATTTGGGGAAGAAGAGGGGGAGAGGATCCACCCCCGCCAGCTCCAGCAGTGCTCAGGGCAGGAAGTTGTTCCTCTGCCACTTGTGAGAAAGTCACAGTCACTGCAACAATAACATGGTTTTTATGCTGACCACAGGATCTGGCCTTGCTCCAGCCCTGACCATGCTCGGGGCTCAGCTGGGTGAGGGGTGCACCTTGCTGCAGCTGAAGATGTGACCCAGTACAGCTGTTCCAGCCACCTGGAAGCACTAACCCAAAGGGTCTTTTCAGAGCCTTCTGTGCCACCAGAAGGTGACCCAACCATCCTAACTTGATCACCTCCTGGAGAACATACATAAAGATGCTCTCATCTCAGCCTCCCATCCACCACAAATTGCACACACATGGGTTGGGGACAAAGAGTCAGCCAGTGGAGCCAGCTCAAGGACAGCAGCCGCGGGTGCTGGTGGGGGCACTCACTGATGCAGGGGGCCACTGGTGAGCGGCTCTGCTGGTAGCCCTTAGCACAGCGGTTGCAGGTGAGACCTGTCACGCCGTCCTTGCATGGGCACTGCCCCGTCGTCTGGTTGCAGGTCTTGCCGGCTGCGCCAACAGGGTGGCAGTCACAAGCTGGGTGAGAGGGAGAGAGAAGAGGTTTCATTAAAGGTGATGCACAACACAGACCTCAAACTGGACCCAATGTGTCCCCCCCTGGAGAGGTGAGGAAGAGGTGGGCCAGCACACTAGTGGAAAGGAGCTGCCAGGGCTGGCATAACCAAGACCTGCGGGTCCAGACTGTGGCTCCATGTATGCTGCGAGCAGCATGGGCAGGAGGGCAAGCAGACAAAAGGCTTGGCCAGAGTACAGCTCCACTGACCGGGATGCTCAGGATGAGCCCCTGGAAAACCTGGAGGTCACACAGGCACCTGCTGATACCAGCTCACATCTAAAGTCCAGACACCAGGAGAACAGTTTCTTCCTGCCCACTGCTCTGGGGATAGTCCATTGTGCACACAGGAAAGAGGAGGGATTTCCACAGGCAGCCCTTTCCTGTGTAACCTTTTCCTGTGCAACCAAAAGGCCCACGTGGGGCTCTGCAAACCCTGGTTTATGGCCAGCATGGAATTGGGGCCACTGCAGGGACAGAAAGTAAACAGATACATGCCCAGGTCTGCTTTTCCCCCACCTCAACCGAAGGGCAATGCTCCTGCTGCAGCAGTAAAAGGAATTCTCTCCACTCGCTCCCCCACCTGTGAGCTTTTCAGTCCATGAAGCTGAACCAACACTGAGATTTCACACAAAGTCTGGCCTTCCCTTGATTTTAGGATAGTCTGAAGTGGGTCTTCTCAAAGCTTCCCAAGCTCATGAGCTTCAGTGTTCATCCTGGCTCTTGGAGACTATGAACAAAGGATGTTCTTATTGCCTTTCTAATGCAGCCTCCCCAGGGCCAAGCCACAGATGAGGTGGGTGAAAGCTGGGTCTTCACCCTCAGAACAGACCCAAAGTTATTCTCCATCAGTGGATGACAGACCTACTGAGGGTTGTCTACATGGAGGGATGCAGGAAGGAGATGTTCACTCAGGAGCATCTTCCTGCCCGGGGCTGGGCTGGCTATGAGCTGGAAGAGGTTATCTTGGCTCCCACCAGTGTAAGAAAGAGTTGAACATGATTCCAAAGCAAAAAAAAAAAAACCCAACACCCCTCGCTTTCCCTCACAGCCCCCCGATGTTATCATTTCCCTAATTCTCAACAGATGGGGCTGGTGGGAGCACCAAGGCACTGCTCCTTCAGGCCCCCTCCCACACTGCCAGAAACCAGAGCAAGCAGCCTGTAATGGGGACCAGATGCTTCACCTTATCAGATCTTGGCTGGGACTGGAAGCGGACATCTTTCTGACAGGGATATTTTGGGGGCTCAGCTGTGATAACAAATGGCAGTGAGCAGGGAGCCTTGGCATGATGCAGGGCCATTGGAAACATGGAGGCTTTCTTGGGCACCAGTGCTGGATTCTTGGAGTGAATTTTAAGAAGGGACATAAATCTCAGCACAATCAGGATCCAACTCATCTGAGCAGATCTCTCTTCATGCAGTAGAAGAAAGCTTTCAATGATTCTTGACATTTTACCTGAATCAGCCATTAAGACAGCTTTGTTCATCTTAAGTCCACAGCAGATATGTGGTTTTGGGAGATGACCTTGGTCTCTGCCAGACCAACCTCCAGCCCCTTTCCCTGCCATGGTGGGATTTCCCACAGTCTCACAGAAATCCTTTGCTCCTTCCCATTTGGATGGGAAGAGCATCCCAGGCAGCACCCAGTGCTTCCCCTGACCAGTCCCACATCCCAGCATGGCCGCATCCCACCACTCTGCCTCAACATCTCCATCCCTTCTCAACCTGAGGTGACCAACAGTAGCAGCTGGCTCAGGGATGAAGGAACTGGGGAACTCCAGCTCCATCCCCAGCTCTACCTCCACAGCTCCATCCCCAGCTGCAGCTCCAGCTCCATCCCTATTCCCCATCCTCATCTTCATTCCCAGATCCAGATCCATGTCCGCTGTGCTCACATTGAGCCCTGCTGCTCACAGCCTTTCCAGGTGCCAGGATCTGGCCCACAGAGCTTGAATAGTGGATTAAGTCACTAGCTTGGAGCTTAACTCATTGAGCTGTGCTTGCCAGCAAGCATGTCTTGCACCTAATATTGAGGGTATTTTTGCATCTTAAGGCTTAGCTGCTACTGCTTCCCCAGTTTTCATTGCAGAAAGCTCAGGGTTTACAGCTTTGTTTAAACTACAGGGATTAATGCACACCCATTCTTCATTTGACTTTGCAATTACCATCACTGAATTAATCCTGCAGGTTGTTCTGCCTTTTCCATTCTCTTAGATTTTCCATCTCACAGTGCCCAGTGGTAACACCAGGACAGGGAGGCCCATCTGGGAGGGAAGAGCTTGCCCTAGTGACTGAGGGCTACATTCTGGTGCCAGCAGGAGACACGGGCTTCTGCAATGTACGGTTGATATTTCTGTGCCTGTTTCAAAGATGTTGCATCCCAAGCAGAAATGAACCACGGATGGATAGCCCAGTAATGTGCACTGGGGTCTGTTAAATAAAACGAAACAGTTCCTGGCCTCTGGGCTGACTTTTCATCTCCTGAATATGAACTGAGCTTCATCCCTAGTACCTGCAGTATCTCTCTTTGCTAGGATGTTCAGCTTCTGCCCTGGACCATCACCGTGGCACATGCAAATGTCTTCATCCAAAGCCGCACCCCTCAGTTCCCAGCAGCTTAATCCACAATTGCTTTTAACATCTGTTGTCATGAGCTGTGCTTTTCCTTTTTGTTTTCTTGCAGAAGTGTAGATACCTGAGCTGTAGGTACACGACACATCTTTGGAAAAAACAAGCACAAACTCTCTAGTCACAGAATCTCAGACTGGTTTTTGTTGGAAGGGACCCAGTTCCAACCCCCTGCCATAGGCAGGGACACCTTCCACTAGACCAGGTTGCTCCAAGCCCCGTCCAACCTGGCCTTGAACACTGCCAGGGATGGGGCAGCCACAGCTCCTCTGGGCACCCTGTGCCAGTGCCTCAGCACCCTCACAGGGAAGAGCTTCTGCCTAAGAGCTCATCTCAGTCTCCCCTCTGTCAGGTTAAAGCCATTCCCCCTTGTCCTGTCCCTACAGGCCCTTGCCCAAAGCCCTCTCCAGCTTTCTTGTAGCCCCTTCAGGCACTGGGAGCTGCTCTAAGGTCTTCCCAGAGCCTTCTCTTCTCCAGGCTGAAGAAGCCCAGCTCTCCCACAGAGAGACCTGTCTCAGAGCAGAGGTGCTCCAGACCCCTGATCATATCTCTAGCAGCAACAAATCCCCTTCATGGCACTGGGCAGGTAGGCTCTCAGGTGCTGGTCCTGCTCCAAAGACCTACCAATCCCAACAAGATCCACCACTCAATAAGTACAAGGAATGGGTGGAAATGTGCTCTGCTTTACTGAAGAAGGGACAGCCAAAGGAACAGAAGCATCAGGGATTTTATTATTAGCTTGGTTCCCTGAGGCAGAGACAGGAACTGGCTCCCAAGACCCAAGAACCGCCTTTACTGCCAGATCCTCCTCAACATATGCACTGTGGTAGGGAACAGCCTTTGTGCATGCTCATCTGGTGAGGCTCAACTTTTGCAGCACTTCCAAACCTGGGGCAAACCCTGCCAGCCCTCTGGAAACAGCACCTCCCACTCCTGGCTGGCAGAGACCTGCCCTGGCTCGGTACAGGGACGGGCAGGAGAGGGACCCTGCAGCACCCCACTCCTCTGCAGCATGCACTGGTGTTTGTCCTGCACAGCAGCATCAGTCCTCGCCCTGTCCTACCAGCTCCTGAGCACCCCTGGGTGCTCTGCACACTCCATCCTCTCCAGAGCAGCCACCTTCAATCTGAGATGCTTTCCATCAACTTAATGCTCCACCATTACAGGCCTGGGAAGACAGTGAAGCAGGACCAGGCACAGGCAGAAGGAGGCAGCCATAGCCCCTCTGCTTCCTCCACCCTCAGCCCTGAAAATGGGGGGACCTGAGCCAGAGCCTGGGTAGGAAACGCTGCACCTGGAGTATCCCTCGTTCATATTTAACTATCCTCCTCCCTGGTTCCAGCACCCAGCCAAATACTGCTTGCTTTATTTATCATTAGTTTTTGCTCTCTTCCCTGGCTGGAGCAGAAACAGAAACCTCAGTGCCCAGCACAAAGGCAGCACTGGGGATGCTGTGTGCCACAGGGAAGGAAACACCTGCAAGGATTCCACTTTGCTTGGGATCTCATGGGATAATTTTGGTAACAAAGGCAGAAGGAGCTGGTGAACCAAAGAGAAGCAGAAACCCCTCATTCAGGGCAGACTGGGGAGGCTGGATACTGACTGCAGAGAATGCAAGGGGAGGTGGCACAGCCACCCCAGTAGCCTCACAAGCCCTGGTGCCAGCTGGGGTGAGTCAGGACTGCTTGTGATCCCCCAGTGCTTGAGGACAATCCTCACAGAAAAGGGAATTTTGCTGCAGCTGCCCAAGTCCAGCAGTGCTGCAGCAGGAGCTGGGGGATGCTGCCATCCCTCCCTGGCCTCAGTCAGAGTCAGGACCCCTCCGGGAATGGGACAGGGCCCAGGATGCTGGGCTATAGACCTTCAGGATGCATGGAATCATAGAATGGTTTGGGTTGGAAAGGAGCTTAAGATCATCCAGTTCCAAACCTCCTCCTGCCATGGGCAGGGACACCTCCCACTAGACCATGTCACCAAAGCCTTGTCCAACCTGGTCTTGAACACTGCCAGGGATGGGGCAGCCACAGCTTCTCTGGGCAACCTGTGCCAACGTCTCACCCCCCTCACAGTAAAGAACTTCTTCCTTATATCTAACCTGAACTTCGCCTGTTTCAGTTTAAACCCATTCCCCCTTGTTCTGTGGCTACAGTCCCTAGTGACAAGTCCCTCTCCAGCATCCCTATAGGCCCCCTTCAGATACTGGAAGGCTGTTATCAAGTCTCCATGCAGATCCTTTTCTCCATGCCTTTTCCTCCCTCCTCCTCTTCCTCTCTCCCAGTGTCACCCCAAGGACGGTGGTACCTGGCATGGCTTTGGGACCTGGTTGCTGCCTGGCATGAAGCCCGGCAACAGGAAACTCTTGCTGCTGCTGGGGGGCTGCCATGTCCAGAGCCATAGCAGTGACATGGTTTGGCCATGCTGTTGGGCCGGGCTGCTGAGGAGGTATCTGTCCATCTGTCAGCTGCTTGGGTGATTACAACTGATGAGCTAAGGAGGTGGCTGCAGCCAAGGCTGCCCCTGTCAGTGCTCAGCCGTGCTGTTGCTGCTGCACCAAACATGGAAAGTTTCTTCCTTTATCTCTTCAGCTGCTCCCATGGAACACAGCATGGGCAAGGGACAGATGTCACCTATTACATGAGCCAGAATAACCAACAAAACTAGGGCACCACAGACGGGAACTCTAAAAGTCAAATCCTTCAATTCATGTCTGCAGCCACAACATTAATGGTCCAAAAATAGCTTCAGCAGTTCCTGTGGACCCTACATAAACATGCTATGTTTATGTCCTCACAGCAGCAGAGGTGCCTGGTGCCCATGAGATACTGCACTCCATTCTGGGGAGTACTTGCACTCTAAGCTGGAAAAAGAGGGATCAGGGATGAATTCAGAGCACATGATGTCTGGCACAGGCTGTGGACCTTTTAAGGTCAAGCTGTGGCTCAACGGTTTGCAGCAATTGCATCTCTTGGCCAGCTCAGGGACAAGCCACCCTGCCTGCAGGCACTATGAGCCATGGTGCTCAGCATCCTCTCCAAAACAGCTCCCCAGAGCTACCCCATAGCTAAAACACACACCGGGGTCCTGCTCCACAGCCCAACAGGATGATGGACACCTCTGCCAGCATCCCCAGCCCTGTAAGGCAGGGAAGCCATTGTGGGCTCAGCATCCTCTCCAAAACAGCTCCCCAGAGCTACCCCATAGCTAAAACACACACCGGGGTCTTGCTCCACAGCCCAACAGGATGATGGACACCTCTGCCAGCATCCCCAGCCCTGTAAGGCAGGGAAGCCATTGCGGGTCATTTTGTGAAGCAGCTTGAACACTTCCAAGCACCTCCATGGTCCAGACACCAGGACCCTGCCAGGATGGATGGAGCTCAGGGAACATGCTCATTCCCTGCTCATTGTCCTCCCCATCCTGTGAGGGATTTCAAGCCTTGAGGCTTGAAATGATGTCCCTGCCTGGTACTCTTGGGATGGCAGAGGTGACCTGGATGATGGAGGCTGGAGGTGACCTGCAGCCAGGCTCTGAGCAAAAGCATGTTGTAAAGATGGGAGGGAGAGCAAGAAAGATTGTATGACCCATGCTGCCTGCATGGAGAACCCGCCCCAGCTTACCTTTGCAGGCCTTGCGGTCTGTGATGGACTTGCTGAGGTCCCGGTAGAAGCCCTCCTTGCAGTAGTGGCAGTGCCGCCCCGCGGTGTTGTGCCGACAGTTGAGGCACACACCGCCACTCTTCCTGCCTGAGAGCTTGTACAGCTCCATGTTGAAGCGGCAGCGCCGGGCGTGCAGGTTGCAGTTACAGGCTGCAAGGGAAGGGGAGAGGATGAGGGCTGGGGTTGCAACCTGGGACCCTCTGAGGTTAGTTGGAGCTGCTCCAGTGCCAATGAACAGGACAGGCAGGGCACAGCTGGCCCCCAATGTGCCATCCAGATGTGCAGCATCAGCCAGTGCAAGGGGGTCAGGATGGAGGAGAAAGGGCATGTGTAGGGCTGGGGCATGGCTCAGGTGGAGGCAAGTACAGGGTGGAGGGGTGCAGATATGGGGTCTGGCAGCACACCCAGCCACCCGCAGCCCCGTTGTCCCCCATCTCCCTTCCCACCCTCATAGGTGGGTGCACTGGCCTTGCTCCTGCTGCCTCACAGGGCACCACCCTCACCATCAACAATGGAGCCCCCAAGCCCCTTACATTTAAGGCTCTACCCTGTATGCACGTGCGCACATACATAGCAGCCCACACAGCAACCCATGTGTGCGTGCACACATGTGCACAAACAAATGTGCACAAGGACACACACAAACTCATGTGCACACAATCATGTATATGTGAACATGTATACACAAAAACCGTGCCCCTAAATATCCACATACATGTGTACATACATGTGTCCATGTGCACCTAAATGTCCCCATACCATTACATGTGCACACATGCACATGCACACACACAGATGTACACAGAAACAGCTACATGCCATTACACAGAATCACAGAACCACAGACTGCTTTGGGTTGGAAAGGACCTTAAAGCTCATACAGTTCCAACCCCCTGCTATGGGCACATGTGTACATACACAAATGTGCACACACATGTGCATGAATGCATGCTCACACACATGCATGAATATGCATGCACAGACGCTGGCACACGCACACATGTGTGTGCTGCTGCAGACCCACACGAATGCTGTTCTTTCATCAGCTCCCCCTGCCCGGCTCCAAGTGTACGAGATAAAAAGCAAAGCAACAACCGCTCCTGCTTAACACTTGCAAGGATAATGGGAACAAGATTTCTTTTGGCGAAACACGGCGCCCTTCCCCCGGAGCCGGTAAATTGAGGTTGGGTGAGAGCTTTTCCAGGCGTCCTGTGAAATTCATTAATGTGTCAGACCAGACTTAACTGCTCAGGCCTGCCTTGGAGGGTGTGTGAAATTGTCTCCCCCACAGCCGGCAGGAGCTTCAGTCCTGCAGATCAAACACTCCCTCACCCGCCTGGTTGCAAGGATGCTGGTGAAGGAAAAAGAGAAAACCCTGCCCCTAAAAACAAAAAGAGCCTTTTGGAGGCTTAAGTGAGTGAAGACTGGTGCTGGCACCACACGTTCAAACCCTCAGCTCCCCCAGAGCTCCTCCAAGCTGAGATTACTGTAAAAATCACACGGCAGGCATCAAAATAACACTCGGTGTGTCGGTAGGTGCCTCGGGGGCTTCTGTTTTTTGACCTCTTTTTTGTTTGTTTCCCTGGTGATGGTGAAAACAGGGACTTCTGAGGCAAATTCTAACTGGATGCTGGGATGCAGCTCCTGTAGGGAGAGCAGCAAACACTGCCTATGGTCCAAACAGTCTGGGATGCTCTGTGCCAGGGATGCTGACACTTGGCCAGGCTTTGCCAGGGCCAGGAGAGGTGGTAAAGTACCCCAACATCCAGGCTGTCCTTGCACGCACCAGATAGCAGGACAGGGACAAGCCAGGTGGTTTGTGCCACTGAACTGAGGCAGCTGCATGGAACTGCAGCAAAGGAGCAATTTTGGGTGGTGGAGGGGCCTCACTATTCCCTTTCATCACTGAAAGGCCAGCTGGGTCACCCCAAAGGGCAGCTCTGCTGTCCCATTGGGAATGCTTGGGGCCACCCCTGTTTGTCCCCAGCATCCTCTCACAGTATCACAGTAGGTTAGAGATTGGAAGGGACCTCAAAAGATCATCTAGTCCAATCCCCCTGCCGGAGCAGGAACACCTAGATAAGGTTACACAGGAACGTGTCCAGGCGGGTTTTGAATGTCTCCAAAGAAGGAGATTCCACAACCTCCCTGGGCAGCCTGTTCCAGTGTTCCGTCACCCTCACTGAGAAGAAGTTTCTTCTCAGGTTTAAGTGGAACCTCTTGTGCTCCAATTTGTACCCATTACCCCTTGTCCTTTCATTGTTTGCCACTGAGAAGAGCCTGGCTCCATCCTCGTGACACTCCCCCTTTATATATTTATATACACTAATAAGGTCACCCCTTAATCTCCTCTTCTCCAAACTATAGAGACCCAGCTCCCTCAGCCTCTCCTCATAAGGGAGATGCTCCACTCCCTTAATCATCTTAGTTGCCCTGCGCTGGACTCTCTCCAGCAGGTCCCTGTCCTTCTTAAACTGAGGGGCCCAGAACTGGACACAATATTCCAGATGAGGTCTCACCAGGGCAGAGTAGAGGGGAAGGAGGACCTCTCTCGACCTACTAACCACCCCCCTTCTAATACAACCCAGGATGCCATTGGCCTTCTTGGCCACAAGGGCACAGTGTCGGCTCATGGTCACCCTGTCGTCCACCAGGACCCCCAGGTCCCTCTCCCCTACACTGCTCTCTAACAGGTCGTTCCCCAGCCTATACTGGAACCTGGGGTTGTTCCTGCCCAGATGCAGGACTCTACACTTTCCCTTGTTATATTTCATCAAGTTATTCCCCGCCCAACTCTCCAGCCTGTCCAGGTCTCTCTGGATGGCAGCACAGCCTTCTGGCGTGTCGGCCACCCCTCCCAGCTTAGTGTCATCAGCAAACTTGCTGATAGTACACTCAATTCCCTCATCTAAATCGTTGATGAATATATTAAATAATACTGGTCCCAGTACCGACCCTTGAGGCACTCCACTAGATACAGGCCTCCAACTAGACTCCGCCCCATAGACTACAACTCTCTGGCTTCTCTCCTTCAGCCAGTTCACAGTTCACCTCACTACCCGATCATCCAGACCACACTTCCTCAATTTAGCCGCAAGGATGCTGTGGGAGACCGTGTCAAACGCTTTGCTGAAGTCAAGGTAGACCACATCCACTGCTCTGCCATCATCCATCCACCGTGTTATTTCCTCATAAAAGGCTACGAGATTGGTCAAGCATGACTTCCCCTTGGTGAAGCCATGTTGACTGCCCCTCATAACCCTCTTATCCTTGATATGCCTTAAGATGGCACCAAGGATAAGGTGTTCCATCACTTTCCCAGGAATGGAGGTGAGGCTGACCGGTCTATAGTTACCCGGGTCCTCCTTCTTGCCCTTTTTGAAGACGGGAGTGACATTTGCTTTCCTCCAGTCCTCAGGCACCTCTCCCGTTTCCCAAGACTTGGTAAAGATGATGGAGAGCGGTCTAGCAATGACCTCCACCAGTTCCCTCAGCACCCGCGGGTGCATCCCATCTGGACCCATGGATTTATGGATGTCCAGATTGCTCAACTGGTCTTTAACCCATTCCTCATTGACTAAGGCAGACCGCTCCATTGACCTGTCTTCATCTGAGGTCTCAGCGGTACAGGGCTCTTCAGGACTGCCTCCGGCAGAGTAGACAGAGACAAAGAAGTAATTCAGTAACTCTGCCATCTCTGTATCTTCTGTCACCAGGGCACCCGTCCCGTTCATCAGCGGGCCTACATTGCCTCTGGTGTTAGTTTTACCTGCCATGTATTTGAAAAAGCTCTTTCTGCTGTCCTTGACCCCTCTCGCCAGCTTTAATTCCAAGGAGGCCTTAGTCATCCCAGCAGCTTTCCTCTGGGAAAAGAAGGCAGATGGCAGCCCAGAGGGGAGTCTATGGGCAGCAGAGAAAGGTCAGGTGAAAGATTTGCTGCCCTTGGCACAGGTCCCTTCCTGTTTCCAGTTTAATTGGTGAGAGAGTAAGTGTGTGGGACGTTTCACAGCATCACCAAACCTGCTGCAGAGCACGGGCCCTCCTGGGTGGCACCTTTCCCTGGGAACATGGTGCAGATCCTCCCAGGAGCTGGCTTTTGGGAAGAAACTTCCTCTTGCTGCCCAGCATCATCCCCTCTGGGATGGTACTGCTGCCCACTCTGGGTTGCTGCTCCCAGTCTGGGTTGGGGGTCAGGAAACTGTCTCCAGCTGAGCTGGAGCCAACCTGGGATTTTGGCATGGTCCTGGCCAGCCAAGGTGGGGATGTGGCCAGGCTGGGATGGGTGGCTGTCCCCTGCTCAGGGACAGGATCACACCAGCACAGGATCCACAGTGCAGCCATCTGGCACTAATTGGGGCAGCCAGGTCCCCCTCCTACCCAGATAAATAGTTCCCTGTTCCTCAGTGCCAGCTACGTTGCAAGCTCTGTCTCCTGTTAATCACTAATTAAAGGCTTGAATGTTCCCTGCCATTTGGGGTATTAATAAGAATTTAATTGCACAGTTTGGGGCTAATTATATGGTAGCTTGCTTCCGCCCTCATACAGTATGCCCAATTAAACAACCATATGATCAATTAAACAATCACAACATCTAATAATTTGCAATAATAGACTAATTAAATGTTGACACCTTGCATAGGAGCAACGTTCTGTCCCCTTTTTTGATGGTGGTTGAACCCCTGCACAGGCTCTGGCCACCCCACAACCTCTCCTCCTCCAGGCTGCTGTGGGTGAAGAGTGCAGGGTGCTAGCACAAGGCAGTTTGGGGCAGGAAGCCCGGCACAGGACAGCAGCGCTGTGCAGCAGGGCACATGTGTGGCAGGCGATGGTTGGAGCCTGCAGGGCAGGAGCATGGCTGCTGCCCCTGGAAGTTCCCTGGGAATAATTAGGGAAGGCAGCCGGCTCAGTGAAACCCTAGACCTGCTGCTGCTGCCAACCCGCAGTGGATTCGAGCTACACCCCTGCTTTGGCTGGAGGAGAGCCTGGGGAAGGATAAGGCTGCACCTCCACCCTGGGATGGGAACTCTCCCATCCGCACTGCCTCTCCTCATGCGGAATGTGCTTGGGAAAAGAGGGGCCAGGGCTTATGCCTCTGCTGCCAAGAAGCAGGAGAGGAAGCAGAAGTGGTGGAGAGCCCTCCCTGAGGGGGTGCGAGGGGATGCGAGGGGCAAGGCTGAGCCACTCCAGCCCCAGCCAGGGAGGAGCAGGACTCAAAGATGCTCAGACAAGTGTGAATCCCCTCCATCGTGGTGGCTGCCTACTCCCAGCACTCCTGCCTTGGCACCCGCTGTCCATGTGGTGCAGCATCCCAGCAGACTGGGGGTTCAGGGGGATGCTGCTCGCTTGCCACCTCCCAAAGCCACCACCAACCCCGAATTACTGCCCACTGCGCTCCCAGGGAAGGACCATGCTTGGTGCTGCTGTTTTCCATAGGGAGAAAGCAAGGAGCATCCTGCCAGGGTAGGGGCTGCCAACAGCACAGATCCCGCTCCACGAGTAAAACAGGCCAGGGCAGCTCAAGGGGGCGCTTCTGAGATGATTTTTGCATGGGAGGTACTGAGAGAGAGGAAGAAAGCAAAGATGTACAAGGAGGGGCAGAGGACATGGGGGAAGCACACGGTATCCTCTAAATCCCATCACTGCTCTGATGATCAGTGTTTTCAGGCTCTGGCATCCCAGATCAATCTCCAGAGCCCTCCAGCACAGAGCAGAGGGAGCAGCAGCCAGCAATGTCCTCCCAGGAGGGCACAGCCCCCCCTTCCTCAAGGAACCCCCTGCATCCGAGCCAGCCCTGTGCATTTATCCCAGTGCTCCGGGAGCTCTCCCGCAGCGGCGGCCACAAAGGGAACAAGAGCTCCCGCAACCCCAGCGACTGCATCAATTACTTCCAGTGGCTGCCCTGTGCTAATCCGCTTCCCCTTCTTCTCCAGGATGGGAGCTAGGGGGTTGCCTGCCGGGGGAGCAGTGATAGGCTGCCCCTGAGCAGCTCCGCATGTGCAAGCAGTGGTGGGGAGGAGGAGGCACAAGAATAAAGCTGATGCATCTCATGGGGGGAGCTCGGGACTTTGGCGATCCTGCTCGCACTGGCCACTCTGCTGGGATTATCCTTCACTGAAGGGCTAAAAGCTGGAGGGACACATGGATGAGGATACGTGTCTGCCCTTCCTGCCCTCCTCTGTCCCGTTTTGGGGAGGGCACAGCAAAGCATCCTAATATTGGCAGGGCAAACACCTAGTAGAACATTTAGCCCTTCTGGGGTATCAGAGAGCCCCCTGTGCCCATGGACCAATGGCACCACTCTCTAACCACCAGGCACAGGGCCATGCACCCTGCGACATGGAGCAGGCACTGGGCCCTCTTGCCAAGCCAGCAGTGTGGTAAATCCACTGTCACCATCCTGGCTGGTGACATCCCCAAAACTTCCTACTTGCCAAAGCTACGCTGCGCCCCCCCCCCAATGCCTCAGCACAGCATAGCCACCCCATGGCAGCGTGGTGGGGTCATGCCCATTGCCCATGCTCAGACCTCAGCCATCACCTGCCTGTTTCACCTCTGCATTTCCCACCCCAGCCAGAGGCAGAAATTCTTGTGAATTAAAAAGTTTGTCCTCAGCTGTGTGGATGGATGTCCCAGCACCGTGACATGGTGAGGGACATAAATTTGTCCCCATGCCAGAGCAGATAGAAACTCCTGGAGTGAGACAAACCCTCATGCAGGATGCTGGGGAGCACAGAGCCAAGAGGTTACACTCCAACACGACCTGAAGCTGTACCAGCCCCATGGCTCCATCCAAATCCACTTTTGAGGTGTTGTAGCCCCCAGGCCTGCCCCTTGGCTGGCACTGAGCTGCCAAGCTCCTGCATCCATCCACCCTCCTCCTTCTCACCCCTCAATAGCCACACATGATCACCAACCACCACACGCCAGCATCACCAGTACCCGGCTGTAGGATGGAGTCTGAAAGCCTGCAGCCCTAGGCTGAGCAAAGGGAACTTCCCCAGCAGCCTCTCCTTTTAATTGGTACTAATTGCTGCATCTGTTCATGCTGGCTGGGGAGATGTCATTGTTGAAAGGCACAGAGGGGAAGGCTCGGGGAGCTAATCCAGCTTTCAGCTGCTAAACCCTTTGGAGGCGGGTGATGAAGAAGCTCTTTTCAGGTCCCTTCAGAGAGGGCACAAAGCCTGAGAGGGGAAAGGGAGAAAGAAGGGGAGCGAATCAACAGGAAAAAACTACTTTCACACACAGATTGGGGAAGGGTCTTTGTGCAGGGGGCTTGTTGGGGGGGGGGGGTTTGAAGGGACTGCACTGTGCCCCCGCTTCTCTTCTCTCTCTCATTTACCTTTTCAGCCCCATCTGCCGAAAGGGTGGTGCAGCTGAGGGCAGTATGCTCAGGAGCACAGCCCTGTGGTGCAGGACCTTCACCCTGTGATGGCCAAGATGGGCAGAGGGACAGGAGATCTGTAGATGCTCCCCTCAGTTTAACTTCTTCTGTGCCAGCAGAACCATCGCCGCTGCCATCAACCTGCTGTAACAGAGGACTCAATGGCAAGGCAGATGTGCTGTGGGGTGCTCCAAGGGTCCTCAGGTTGGGGTCCTGCTTTTTATCCCAGGGGGTTTCCAAGGGTTCACTTCCATTCAGAGCCCTTCCCCCGGAGGCAGCAGCCATGGGCAGGGTGCAGAGTTGATGGCTTTTTTTCTGAGATTTGCTCCAAAACATCTTTCTGAGACAAGTGGGAGAATGCAAGGGCTGACACATTCCCACAGGAAGTGAGGTGGTTTAAAGCATTGACTCCAGCACTTGCTTTGAGCCTGCTGCCTTTTTAGCCATTCTCAGAATAAATCCACTGTAACATATATATATATGAGCTGACAGCTGGGATCTCAACAGGACATCGATCACAAATACTAACAAGTCCCCCTGACCTCTGGCACATCCACTGAGCCTTTCAGAGGCTGATTAATGGTACGGCTTTCCCTCGTCTCCATCTTCCCGCTACCCCTGGGACCCAGGCCTCAGTACAGGAGGAGTGAGGGGCTGTTCCTCCCTCTCCCAGACCTTTGCAGTGCTGTGGCATTCCCCAACCCCATCCCAAATTAGGACAAAAGAAAAAAACCTCCATCAAAATCTCACAAAGTCAGGAGTGGGAGAGTTGAGCAAAGCCAGTGTGATATTTTGGAACCATTTCATTTCAATGACAATACTTTTAACCTCTGCAAGGACAGACAATCTAAAACCACCATGCAAAGCGCCATGCCAAACCCCCCATGAATGGTAAAATGTTGACTCAGGTATTTCCTCAATCTCTGCTGGGTTTTGCTGCCTGCTCCCTACCCCACAGCACATCTCATGGGAGACCACTGTGATTCCCCCTCCTGGCCCAGGGACAGCTTGTTTGATGCCCAAGGGAAAACCCCTAGATGGGCATTGTGTATCCCACACCAAGGTTTGCTGACCTGCTGGAAGACAACACTAATTTTTTAGAGTGTTTCAGTGCTTTGGCCAATGGCAACTTGCTGGAGGGCTGTGAAAGGCTCAGCTCAGCAGAGACAGGGCAGATGCTTGAGCCTTTCCAAACTCTCCAGGGAGGGGGATGCTCCCGAGTACCTCTGGACAAGCGCACTCTATCACTTTGGCTCAGCACCCATCCCATCCTCCCCCAACAACCCATTTAAGGGTTTTAACCCTGTAAAAAATGTAAGTGAAAAATGAAATCTCACTCACCCAGACACTCATTGGCCTCACGAGCTGTGGCTCGCTGCCAGGGTCGATCATAGTGGAAGGGCTTGCAGCGGTCGCACTCGGGCCCCTCAGTGTTGTGCTTGCAGTCACACACCAGCTTCTGCTCCTTGTCCTTCACACAGCGCGCTGCATGCCCATTGCACTTGCAGCGCCCACCGACCTGCAGCTCCCCTACCGCGTAGTAATACGGGGTGGAGCTGGTGCCCCCCTCGTCCTCCCCAGCATCGCGGCTGCCCAGGTCGCGGAAGAGGTGCGGGCGGCTGAAGACCACACGGATGTCGGTGGCTGTCACCCAGTCCTGGAGCACAGGGCTACTGTCGAAGTCCTGGGCAGAGGGTCGCCCATCAAGGGTGCTGAAGGCGATGAGCCCGCCGGTGAGCGGGTAGAGGTCGGTGAGGCCATCAGTGCAGAGGGCCTCCTGCTCATTCTGCTTGGTGACGGTGGCTTTGCTGGGCTTGCCATAGATCTTACGGCACTGGGAAGAGTAGTACTGGTATGGCACCCAGGTCTTGCCGTAGTCCATGGACTTGAGGATGGCGGTGGATTCTGGCCGAGGAGAGCAGAACTGGAGGCTGACATAGACCACCTCAAACTTCTTGCCGAGGGAGAGGGTGAGGGTGACATTCTGGGGTGAGTGGTGGAGGGTCTCAGAGCGCCAGCATGTCATATTGGATGCGGTGTTGAGGTCGGTCAGGTAGGCAGGCGGGTGGGCTCGGCGCGGGTCCGAGGCGTTGCAATGCCGCGTTGGGGGCTTCCCACACGTGCTGGAGGCTTGGACCTCCTTCCCGAAGGCGGCATTGACGAATTCAGGGATGCAGCGGCGAGGAGCACCACTCTCATCGTAGCAAGGGTCCGGAAGGGTCTGCTGGGCCATGAAGGGGTTCACGGTCTGAGAGAGGCCCAGCATGGCAGTGGTGAGGAGCAGGCGCAGGAGATATAGGACTTCCATTCTCCCGGGTGAGGGAAGTGGCTCCTCCCTGGGTGGACAGCAAAGAGAGAGAACGGCTTCTGCAGCTCTGCCATGAGCAGCACAACCGCAGCACTGCGCATGCAGGAGGCTGGTAAGGGATGGGGACTACCTCTCGACCTGTGCTCACCTTCCCACCCCACACTTACTGATGTAGCCTCCTGGGAGTGCAGCAGGGAGATGATTACTTATCCACACTTATCCCTTGCTGCTCATCAGTGGGAGCAAAATACCAAGGATGGGAGGTAGGTAAGAGCTGGGGAGACCTTTCAGCTGTGACAGGAGCTGCAAACCCAGGTTACCCAACCACAGCCCGAAACAGCTCCTACTGGCGCAGGAGAAACGAGCACCAGTGAAAACACCTTGTGGGGGTATTTCACAACAGGCAGGAGCTCACCAGGATGAAGGCTTTGGGTCCAACACCACTTTCCCTGCTGTGACATAGCCCAAGCAACATCCCAGTAGCCTTGGGCATGGTAGCTTTCCTGAACCAGATGCTACATCACTTCCAAATCCCACCACTACACTGGCCAAGTATTCCCACTGGCAAAAGAAGGTTATTCTGGCCTCACCCCCAGATACTCTGAGTCTGGCCTGTCTGTTAATGGAGGGGAAGGTAAAGACCATCATTGTCCACATTCAAGTGTCTTCAAAAGTTTTGCAATGACTGATAGAATCTAGAGGAAACTCAAAGAGTAAATACTTGAATGTTCAGTTGGTGGTTGCTGATAAACTTGGACAACGCCCACCAGCAACATTTGACGTAATTTTGGATTAAAATCAGCTTGAAGGTGCTTGTCAACACCTGACAGCGTATCTTGAGGTGCACTGGTGTAGCACACCCATGACTCTGCTCCTCAGGTGAGATTTAGGGCCATCTGCACTTTCACCATAACCTTTTGCAATCACTGGACTGCTGCTATGAAAATACATTTCAGACCCAAACAGCAGTGCAGATCAGATGGGGATTTTTGATCAACAGGGAAATAGCATAATAGGTTTTAAACAGCATAACCTACACTTGCTTCATTAAGTTAATTATCAAGGGCCTGTAGGGACAGGACAAGGGGGAACGGCTTTAACCTGACAGAGGGGAGACTGAGATGAGCTCTTAGGTAGAAGCTCTTCCCTGTGAGGGTGCTGAGGTGCTGGCACAGGGTGCCCAGAGAAGCTGTGGCTGCCTCATCCCTGGCAGTGTTCAAGGCCAGGTTGGATGGGGCTTGAAGCAACCTGGTCTGGTGGAAGGTGTCCCTGCCCATGGCAGGGGTTTGGGACTGGATGAGCTTTAGACTTGGAACTGGATGAGCTTTAACGTTGCTCCCAACCCAAACCAGCCTGGGATTCTGCATGACTTGGATTTTGTGCTTCACTCAAAGAATAAAGCTCTGCACCAACAGCACAACCCAAGCACAGTGATGTTCTGCTCCCCATCTACAGCCCCCAACACAACCCTGGCCTGTCCAGCTGCCCACTTGGCCTAAGGAGTCTGGCAGGGGGCAGCCCATTCCAAATGATGCAGGGGCCTGGGGTTTTTTGCTTTGTTCCCTTTCACAAAAAAACCACCAAGGAGCATGGCTTTGGAAGGAAGCTGCCTCTGTCCAGCTGCCAAACAACTAATAGGGGAAGTTCCTCCCTTCCCAGCCACGCTCAGGCAGGCAGCCAGTGCCAGAGCCCATGCATGCCCAGTGAGAAGGGAGCAGGGACAGGGGTCTCAGCCCATACCTAGACATCTCCCCAGGACAAATCCCTGCCCTGCCACCTCCACGCTGTTTCCTCACTGCGTAATCTGCTGATGGAAAAGGAGATGCTGCCTGCTGAAAAGCCAGTGGCTCCCTTGGTGGTCTCTGCATCATGCGGGCAGCATGTCCCTCACTGTGTGGCAGTACTACAGAGCCCTTTGGGGACACAGCAGCCCAAGATGAGGGATGCTGTCTCTGGGGTGCCCAGAGCACTGACAACCCCCTATTCCACAGGAGCAGAGGGGGCATCAGGGATGTGGTTATCAGCACAGCGGAGGAAGCATCGTGTCCCAAGCACAAGGCAGTGAACAGCATCCCCACTGCAGGCAGCTGCCTCCAGGGCAGGAGGTGAAGCCCTGGTTGCTCCAAGCTCCCCTGCATCTGCCTGTCTGGGAACTGCTGAGTGAAGACAGCCTCTGGTTAACCCCTAAACACAATCCTGATGGAACCATCCTCAGCACCAGCCTAGTGCAGAGCAGCAGGCAGTGAACCAGAGCCCCTGCCAACTCACAGGGTTCCTGCACTCAACCCAGCACTGGACCCCCCCCTGCAATGCCAGTACTACCTGACCATGCAAATGCCTGCAGAGGCCAGCATGGCCCTTCAGTCTTGTGATGCTGCAGCTCACCCATCATGCAGTCCAACTGCACACCCCACGGAGGGGACCTGGCTGGGTGCAGCCACCACCACCTCCCATCCCACCAGTGCCAGCGCAGCACATGGGACCAGCACAACCCCATCAGAAAAGAGGAGAAAACCCCTGAGATGCCATAGAATCTGCATCAATCCACTCCAGGGGAACTTGGGTGTATCAAACGAGGCACACACCATCTCCTCTATGCTACATGGTAGCAAGATGACAGGAGTAGGGCCATGCTCAGTGTGCCACCTGCAAACGCCTTCTAATTCCTGGTAAGACACAAAGGTAGAAAGAAACCCCGAAACCCCTGCCCAGAGGAGAGAGATAGCACCCACACCCAGTGGTGGCAAGGGAAGAGCCCAGAGGTGAAGGTGTTACGAGCAGGGCTGGGGCAGCAGGTCTAGGGCTTGGACCAGGGTTACCACTGCTTTTGGGGCTCTCAGGGGAACAAGCATCTCCCACCCATCCTCCCCATCCAATGGGAAGCTCAGTCTCTCCTGCCTGCTGTAGCATGGTGCAAGCCTCAGAGGTTCAGTGGGCAAACTCTGGGGGCTCTGCTCCTGCAGGGAGCCAGTGCTGGCTCGTTGGTGCTGTGGAGGCAGGGCAGGAATGGAAATCATTATCATCTGTGAGACCACACACAGGCACACGCGCTCCGCACCCGGCTCACCCCATTATCCTGCTGAAAGAGAGCCAGGGCCACTGGTGTCTGCGGGCCTCACCTTGTATTGGAGAGAAGCCGCAGCATGCTCCTCTTACGCATATTCAGCATGACCCCTCACTGCTGGCAAGCTGCTGGGGAGGCCTTGCAGTGGGGATTTCTCTCCCCAGCCCCTATCTTTCCCTGCCTTCCACTTCCCATCTTCACTGCCCCTGGGTTCAGCGCAAACGGAGGGTGCTGACTGAGGAAGGAGAAATGTCCCATCCCTAGCAGTGCTCAAGGCCAGTTTGGATGGGGCTTGGAGCAACCTGGTGTGTCCGTGCTCATGGCAGAGCGCTGGAACTGGATGAGCTTAAGGTCCTTTCCAAACCAAACCAGTCTGGGATTCTATGAAATGGGACAAGCCTGTTGACACAAATCCAGCACAAGGAGGGGGTGCAGCTCCCAGTGACAGCACCGCAGCGGTGTCCCCAGCAATGCTCTCAGGTGGCCGACAGCAGCACCACAGGGCTCACCCTTCCTGAGGAAGCGACTCCGCTCCCAACTCCTCCCCAGAAGAGGCTTCATTTCTGAGGTGGGAAATTTCCTCCCTCCTCCGCTCAGGAATGCTAAGAGCCATGCGGCTTGGAAGGAAGTCATGCTGTCGCAGTGCTTCACAAGCGCTTTAGAAAGGAAAGAATCAGCTACTGCATCCAGCACCTCCACATCCCTGCTCCCTACAGCAACATGCTTCCCAAGCATGCTCAGCATTTCCCCGCCTTGTGGGAAGTTTGTCAGGGTGCTGCTCCAGCCCGCCTTGAGTTCCCCTTCGCATCATCTTCCCCAGAAGCAGTGCTGCCAAGAGCAATGCCAGGTTCCAGGGCTCTGGATGCCTACCCATCAAATGGGAGCTTGGTCCCCAAAATGGAATGTGTGAGAACAAATACAGGTGAGCCAGGGCAAAAAGAACAGAATTCCCCAAATACAGATGCTGGTGCTTACAGCAGGCCTAGGGTCACCACCCAACAGACTAGGGGCCATGACAGCTTTGCAGAGGTAATTACACGATTAAGTAGAATGACTTTGGGTGGGGAGGGAAGGGGGTTATTAGGCAGATTTGATCCCAGGACCTTTGTGGCATGAGAACAGCCTTCTCCAATTAAAGCTGAGTGGGAAGGTGTGAGCAGCCTGAGCAGTGCTCTGCCATCTGCTGAGCCCTGCTGCCCAAAAGCCTGGGCTTATAGAGCAGGGATGGCTAAAGCTGAGCAACTAGCATGGATTGGGAAAGGGAAAGCCCTTAGAAAGGGCAGGAAATGGTGCTTCCTTCCTGACAGGGTCCTGCATGGTTCCCCCAGGTCCTTCCCAACACCACTGGTATGGCACAGTGGGCTGGGTTTCTCCTCTTGTGCATGGGATGTTGACAGCACACAAGGAAAGCATGTGGTCTTACACAGTCAAGATGGGGGCGCCTGGAATCTATGAGGTGCCACATCACAGGGACAAGGTCCCTAGTGCTAGTACAGGGTAGGGACAGAGCCACCCATCCACCCAGGGCACCAAAAAACTCCTCATGGCATGGCACAGCCAGGGAGCAGCAGGCAGAGGAACCCCCAGGCAAAGGGCAGAGCACCCACATACTTGAGGGGATCCAGCAACTAGATCCAAAGTATCCAAACAGGGCTGATGAGGACTGCACATCCCTGCAGGGTGCCATCCCCAGTAAAGCCCACCAGCAGCTCTGAGCAGAAGGGCAATGAGGGGACAGGAGGGGACCCAAAGCAGAAGAAGAATTATGTGCTCAGAGAAACTGTAGCCAAGCCCAAACAACCAGAGCATGTGCCTTAACCAGGATGTACCTGCTACCAGACCTTGCATATTCCCACCTTGTCATGAGCCCTTTCTAATGAGGGCATCCCTGCTACCTGTGCTACTGGAGTGACCCACTGCAGATCTGCTCCAGCCCCATAAACAGAACCCATCTTGGAAAGCTGCCGGGATCCCCAGGTCCCCACCACTTCCAACCCATCCACAGACACCAGTTCCCCACCCACCACACTGATGCTAGCTGGGGGATGCTACATCCCCCCACTCAACCAGCAGAGCTCATCAGGACCAAGCTGTGCTCTGGCCATGGATAAATCATTCCATGTGTTGCTGGGACAAAAAAAAAAAACACAACTTAGAAATATTTAAAACGAAAGGAAAAACCTCACGCAGCCAAGACATTGGGACTGGGCTTGGCTTTCCAGCAGGAGGGAGCACACATAGTGGAGAGAGGCCAGAGAGATGCGGCACAAAATGCTGATTGCCTTCCCAGCTGCTAATAGAGCAACTAGTGCCCACTTGGGACGCAGCTAATGGCACTGAGAAGATGCCTCACTTTGCTCTACAGGCTCCTCCTCTCTTCTGATATTTAAACATCAGAAGCTTCCAGCAGCATATGGATCCGCATCCACAGAGCCATTCACCACGCACAGCCCCTCGGGCTTTCAGCCCCTCCTCCCCAGAGTCTGTGCATCTCACGTGGGCAATTACACAGCAGCGTCCTCCTGCAGCAGGCACCCCCGGCACTAGGTATCACGATGCTCTCTGGCAGGCTGGAACCAGCATTACACAAGCCATATGATACCTCAGCAGTGCCAGGAGACACACACAAATTACATTGCACGCAGGAAAGGATGGGCCAGATTCTGACCTCAGCCCTTTGGCATCATCCAGCAGTAACTCCATTCACATCACGCCAAACCAAGACGTAAGCGACTCCATTCAAATTTACACTGGCATACCTGTGGTCAGAATCTGGCCTGGCTTGAATTAGCTGCAGCCTGACATTACAAAAGGCAGAAACGGAGCCCAGATTTCCTGGGTTATCTAAAACAACCAAAAAGAATGAAAAAAAAAAAAACCAAAAAGAAACCCACCACGAAGCAAACAGTCCCCAGACTACTCCACCATGTGCACTGAGCTGTCAAAGGCTGG